ACCTTTTGACATAGAACCGATATTAGGAAAAGTAAAGTAAAATTTTTATTGAAAAATGGAATCAAATACAGAAATTAGATTTTCATGTATTGATACTTTTAAGAAAAAACAAAATTTAAAAAACCTAAGATTGTTAGATTAATGGCCATTGAGCCAAAATCAGAAATGGCGCGGTCAATATCGTGATATATTCCATTGTAACGCAGTCATCATTGGTTTTATTAAATTCAAATAAAAACATGAAATAAAACTAACAGATGAATCTCCGATTTATACAAATCAGTACACGCATTACCTGAAATTCACAAACAGAAGTAAAACCAAGTTAATAAAATGTTAAATGACGGAATAATACAACATTCAAATTCTCCATGGTCAAGTCCAATATGGATAGTTCCAAAAAATTAGACGCGAGTAAAAAAGAAATGGCGCATAGTAATCGATTTTGTAGAAAATTAAATTTAAAAACTGTAGACGACAAATTTCCATTACCGAATATTGGCATATTAGATAAATTAGGAAGAGCAAAATATTTTAGTACATTAGATTTAGCTAACGGTTTTCATCAAATAGAAATGAAAACGAAGTATCAAAAACAGCATTCAACAGATACAGTCATTGCGATTTAAAAGATTACCATTTGGATTAAAAAACACACCTGCCACATTTCAACGTGTTATGAACAATATTCTTCGCGGTTTACAAAATGAAATATGTGCAGTATATTTTATGACATTATTGGCTTTTCCTCAACGTCTCTTTAATGAACACATGATCGGGGCAAAAAACTATTTTGTTACTCAAGAAACGTACCAAAGTTCAGCCAGATAAATTCTGGCATAAAGAAGTTTGATTATTTTAGTATTATGAAATTCAAAATGGTAAAACTAAAACCCGGATAAAAATAAATTCAGTGAAACACTTTCTTCCAATACCTAATACAAAAAGATAAATCTCCATTTTTAGGATTAGCAGGTTATTATAGACGTTTCATAAAGAATTTTGCCAAAATAAGTAAACCTTTAACTCATTGTTTGAAAAAAGGAAAAAAAAAAAAAAAAAAAAAAAAAAAAAAAAAAAAAAAAAAAAAAAAAAAATTTATTAATTAACGCACCGATTTTAAAGTACCCTGATTTTTACAAAAAGAAATTTATATTAACCACTTCATTTTTACTCCAATAGCACTCTCGAAGTTTTGAAGTTTAAAACCTCCAAACGATAACCCATCAAAGCCATAAATGAAACCAAAAACATTATTTCAGAAAAAAAAGAATGCTAAACCACAATATTTTTAATAGATTTAAAAAAAAAAAAAAAAAAAAAGTTTAAAAATCTATTTTTTTTTTTTTTTTTTTTAAAGTTTTTAAATTGGCTTAAATTTTAAAGAACCGAATTCAAAATTAATGAGATATACTCAAATTAAAAGAATACATTACACTATAATTTATAAAAGCGGAAAACAAAAATACTAACGCGGAGCATTATCCCAACCAATTAAATGCTACAAACAGAGCCACTAAATAATCCAGTATAAATGCGAAGACATAGATCAATTTTTAGAAAGAGACTTTAACTACGATTTATGTTATTTCCTTTTGACATTTTTGACATTAATTCTCGAAGATATTGAAACACTTATACCTAAACATAAAATTGAAAAACACTTGAAAACCTTTTTTTTTAAAAAAATTAGTTTTTTCCAAACCAAAATTATAATATTACAAGATATTCAACTAAGACCTCCAAATGTTGGTCGAAAGAAATCAATGTATAATTCATGAAAAGCCAATGAAAATGAGAAGGCCAACCAATATGAAACTTTTAGATGAAATAATGTAAATAATAAAATCGATCAATTTTTAAAAAATCTCCTTTATATCCCTTATCAAAAGACGGAATATAAAAACGACTTAACGAGTCACCAATAAATAAATAACATAAAAAAAAAAAAAAAAATTTTTAAATGAAAGTATTATTGTCAATTTTCTTAAAACCTATTTAAAAAAATAAAAATACTTATATATATTTTCAAAGAATTAAGACCAATATTTTGGCTAAAAGCAATGAATTTATCATTTCAATCTCTATTTTGATTTAATTGAATGTTCAAAATTAGTCACAATGCTTGAACCTGGACGAAAGGAGAAGAATGGTTCAATATTCGCCAATGAAGGAAAACTAATCACCGTTGAATAGAAGAGACTACAAAACGTATTAAAACTAATTATTGGCTGGAACAACAAAAATCGATAAGTGACCAATTATATCAATGATTGCAAAACTTTCGTCATAGCTTTTGGCATATAAGGAAAGAAAACCACGGAATGAACCTTTAATTTTAATCAATACACCTTCGAAACCATTCGAAATAATACATATAGATTACTAAAACGACTTAATCAAAAATATCTAAATTTTTTTTTTTTATTATTTTCAAAATATGCAATAATTTTTACCTTATCTAGGAATGCCATTATTGTAGCCTAGAACAATTATTAAATTTCTTTTTCATTTATGGGTATACAAAAACAAATAGCTTGTTTCCGATAATGGGACAGAATTTAAAAATGAAACATTAAAAAGATTCTATTAAAAGTACATAAACAAATATACACTTTACTACACCGTATCATCATGAATCCAATGCACCTATAGAAAGATTGCATTCTACATTACTAGAACATATGTGCTAATTTACTAAAAAAGAACAAGATAAAAATTCAGATATAAATACACTCATGAGATATGCTATTATTGCCTATAATAGTACAATACATTCTCAAACAAATTTTACTCCTTTTGAATTAAACTCCCTAGGTCATACTGACTCTAGAGAGACCCATGTTAATTATACCTCAACATGCCTTATTCTGGATTATATTTAAGTACACATAAAAACTAGCATAAAACCCTTTATGAAAAAATTAAAGAAACTACTTAATAAAAAAACAAAAACAGATAGATTATCATAACAAAGATAAAAAGACTAATGAAGTCAAAATAGGAACAACTATCTACAAAAAGAATGATAACAGAGATGCAAAATAAAGAATAAATTTTTAGGTCCTTACACGGTCTCTAAAATACTAGAAAACGGCAACTAGAAATTTCCTTAAAATACAAAAATAATAAAACTGAAATAATACATAAAAATGAAACTAAAATAAATTAAAAATATTTCAGATGTATCGCAGCCTTCTTGTTCGTCATCGCCGAAAACACAAATATAGTAAACTTAAATAACTACCCTGGTATACTACCATTTAAATTAGGAAAAGCAAAAATTCAATCAGATCAATTATCGATCATACAAGTGTACAATTTAGGAACACTAGTAACCGAATTTTATAGACTAAAATCATTTTTAATAATAAATTTATAGAAACATTAAAATTAGTTGAATATGACGTTGCCAACAACAACTAATAAAATATAGAGAATAAAAATCGAATTACAAATATATCAATTGTATCCTAATGATAAAAGAAATAAAAGAGGAATATTAAATCCCTTTTAGTACAGTTATAAATGCATAACTGGGGAACTTAGATTCTGGCTAGATGTGAAGCTATTACAAAAAACTTATAACAGAGTTACAATTAAACCAAATAAATTAAAAATATATCAATAAAAACAAATCACATTAATGCAAAAATCGATAGAGAATTTCAATGAACTTATATCAAATATATCCAGAAATCAAGATAACATTAGAACAAAAGTTATATATCTAGAAGATCAATTAAAAAGGATATTAAAGATAATGAAGAAAAAAGATATTTTCAAAATATGATTATTATAAATGAAATGTATCTAATTTTCCAAAAATATATAGATATTTTTGAGAAAATAGAGGTAGCTATATCCTTTGGTAAAAATAAATGTTTTACACAACTCAATTGTAAATCAGATAGAGTTATTAAAAGAAATAGAAAATTATAAACAAACAACCAAGATATTTTCCCTTTGGAAATAAAGATAGAAAATATTCTAAACTTTGAAAAAAATTAGCCATAGAGATAAAGCTCAAAAGACTATACAATAACATTTATTATGGAAATTCCTTTAGTAAAACCAGACTTGTATTACTATTATAAGTTGTTACCTCTACCAATTCCAATGTAAACAATTCCGATTTTTCATTGATAATTCCTTTCAAACCTTACCTCGCATTAAGTGATACGAAGTATGCATATATGGACGAAGAATGTCAAGAAATAATATTACAAGAATACCTCTGTAAGAAGACTCATCCCCTGAGACTTAAAGGAAATGAGCCATGTGAAGTAAACTTATTAATTTTGAGCAAGACACGAACAATTGTCATCCGTTCCGTATTCCGATAAAAAGTATTCAAATTGAGCGAATCTCTGATGGAGGATGGATCATCACCACTCCTCACAAAACACCGGCAACAATTAAGTGCAATTAACGAAAAGAAAATGTACCCCTATATGGTACATATCTGATTGAAGCAACCCCATTCTGCGAGACACACTTAGAAAAATTCATTCCGAAGACACATCGAAGCAGCAACACACTGTTCGAAGAAATTCTACTGCCAAAGTTAAAGACCAACATGTCCTTTGCCGAAGAAGACATCATCTTTAACCCACCTGTATGGAACCTCAACGTGATCAACATGAAAAATAATCAAGATATCAAGAAAGAACTAGAAGAACAAAGACTTTCTCTCAGTTCGTTAAATAATATTTCAGTAAAAAGACTTAGTAGTATTTCTGGGACAATATTAATTCATTATTTTATTGATTTTGCTTTCTTTATTATTTACTTATAAATACTTTAAAAAAATAAACACGCATTGTTGTTAAGAAATTCCATAATTATGATATAATAATATAAGTGCTTATTTTAATCATCACATTTTGCTATTTTATATTTTACATTTATTCATTTTATTTTTATATTGGTATTCAATTATCTATTAACATTTAATTGATTACTTTATTACATTGATTTTTAATTATATAAACTAAAAATAATAATTAGGAAATCCAGGTGTATTTCCACCTCTACGAAGGGAGGAGTTATAATTGTATAATTAACACACCCTGTAGAAATCTTATACTTTATATTCATCAGCACTTATGTTCATATTTAAGCCGCTGCACGACGCAGGCACAGGGTTCCTTCAGAATCCATCAACGCGTATTGTACTCCCGCTTGTTTAATAAATGTTTTTAAAAACATCTCCACAAAAACCTCAAAATTAACTGCCGTCTGGTTTTTATTGATATAAATGAGAACATAATTAGATTTCGCCACAATCTCGTTATTTAATTTACAATTCTGCCGAGTTTAAGCAACAGTTTGCAAAAATAGCCACTGAAATATAATATATACATATTTGAGGTCGGTTATGTTCGCGCAATACGTGTACTAACTCTATTAATTACGAGATAGATAGAAATAACATGGTTTATTACTGTAAATTACCCCAACCGTCATGTATTTACTTTAATATCAATTTAGTAAAACCCACAGCTAATATATGGAGTTACGAATATATCTGAATAATACCTGCGGTACAGTGGCAACTTTCAAAAAACATCTTCCGTAACAATAATTAAATTGGCTCAGAATATGCCCAATATTGGATGATATAGAACAGATGAAAATGTAGTCTATTGTACAGCCGTCAAGAGACGCTATAAAGGAAGCAGGAAGTTGCATACGGGGGAAAATCTCTGATCGACCAATAGGAGATATACTCTGACAGATCGCGCCGAAGAAACATCACCATGCAATCAATGAGAAAGAATCACAAAAACTGTTATGCACTGCCGCGAAACACTGTTCTGGCTGCGTCAAAGCGTCACTCTGTACTATAGGTGCCAAGCCACAGCAAAGTGTTGGGCAACCAGGAAACGGATAAACTCGCCAAAGAGGGGGAGAGGGGAGAGGTCGTGGCAGACCACTGCTGACGATCAAAACACTGAAGGAAGCTATTGGAACTACCATCAAGGCCAAACAGTAAGAAACGTGGCAACACAGCGAGAAATGCGCTACAGCTCGAAGAGTGTTGCCAGTGGTAGATAGTAAATAAACAAAAATATTTTTTTTAAAATTACAAAAAGAACCTAGTAGGTATGCATAATTATAGATGTCATTATGTAAACTTCACCACGGTGGTAAACTTCGTGAAATGGAAGATTTCCAACGACGACTACTTCAGAGAATGGAAAAGGAAGAAGAAACCACAGAGCACCTGATGTACCACTGTCGGCACTGGAAAACCGACATTTTTATTTAGAGCATGTATTTTGGAGGGACTAGAAGAAGTATCAGAAGCCGACATCAGTGGCATCGGGAACTTTGCAAGGCTGGAAATGCTTTTACGCAAAGAAATAATGAGAACTAGGTTTTGAATACAATAATACAGGGTATCGCAATGGGCCCAAGGCCTCCAAGAGACGGATCAAACAGAATCTCAAACCCCAACAACCTAACCTAACCATAACGGTCATGCCTAGTTTTCAACCATCTGAATTTCGGACGTCTTCTAAAACCTAGTAATACTTGAAGGACTATTTTATTGTCCACATTAATGTCAGTGGCACCTGAGACATGCACCAAATTGACACCATTGTGTCCAATGGACTTATTTTCAAAAATTCGCGTACTCCCTGCCCACGGAATATTGGGGCACTCTGTATAGACAATGTACGGATAATACGATGAACACAATCCAATTTTAAAAAATACTAAATTGTATTCCCATTTCCATTTCAGCGTGTATTTTTGTATAATGTAGCTTAAACTCAATAGAATTGTAAAATTTGGTATAATGGGATCGCTGCGAAATCTAATTACGTTATAATTTATCTTAATAAAAGCGGATGATCGTGTCAAATCTGACAAAGACGATGTATGTACATCATTTAGTTTCGTGGCGTAATTTACATACTGAATAATTTTACACATTTGCTTAAATGTCAAGGCAATGTTTCATATTTGAATATATTCACTTAATTGGGGAAAAACACCTTTTTAGAAAAACGCCACCTGAAGCAGAAAACATAAATTTTCACAATGTTTAAGTTTCTCCAGGGTTGCATTAAACGCAAATTAAAATGCAAATATGTGATTTGTATTCTAAAACCATCTTTTTAGAAGCTGAATTTAAAAAAAAAATTTCTTTTGTTTTTAATTTTTTTATCACTAGAGGGATGATTTGAAAAAGCAATATTTTATTATTTATATTTGTTATGATATTTCAGAAATCTTAATTCAAAAACACCCGTGCGTTTTGAATTAAGGACTTAAGGGTTTAAAATTATTAAGTTAAGTGTTTTAGTTAACTAATGCCTTACAACTATAAACACAATAATAATTAAATACAAACACACTAATAACTCTTCGTCCGATTTTCAAATACCTTTGTCAATTATTCGTCAATTCGCTTATTTCAAAACCTGTTTCAAAAGTTGCTCCATCTGTTTATTCAATCTTTGGTGTTCTTGGATATACGGGCCTGAGTCATGGACCGTCAAGTAGTTTACACACCGTATAGATGCATTTGAGATGTGGTGCTGGAATTACGGATTCATGGAGGAGAATACATGCTCCGTGTCCCATGGACAGCTCGAAAAACGAACCAGTCAATTCTCGATGAACTCTGGCACGATCGATTATCCACCATCACGCAGAGGTGAAGACAACTTCGAAAAACTCTCAACAAAAAGACAAAGTAGAAGGCCGAAGACCCAGAGAACGATCACCATCAAGATGGCTTAACCAAATATCAAATATTACAGGTCATCCATTTCAATCAAATCTCCGAGAGGAAGAAGATCGCCAACGATGAAAGACCAAAATCACCAGCTGCACATAACCATAATGTCACGATTCTTCAGACATGAACAGACGACGAAGCAGATTCAAAACTGACTGATGGCGCGATTCGACTCTTTACAAAAAATTAAATTGCTCGAATGTCATATAATATTACCCGTAGCTAAGTCATGTAATCTGGGAAACGGACACCTCGAAGAACGAACCAGTCAATTCTCAATGAACCCGGCATCACAGATCGATTATCCACCATCTGCCGTAGACGCATCCTGCAATACTTCAGTCATATCACTCGCAGAGGTGAAGACAAATGTGAAAAACTCATTGTAAAAGACAAATTAGAAGGCCGAAGACCCAGAGGACGATCATCATCAAGATGGCTTGACCAAATAGCAAATATTAGAGGTCATCCATTTCAATCAAATCTCCGAGAGGAAGAAGATCGCCAACGATGAAAGACCAAAATCACCAGCTGCACATAGCCATAATGTCACGATTCTTCAGACATGAACAGACGACGAAGCAGATTCAAAACTGACTGATGGCGCGATTCGACTCTTTACAAAAATTAAATTGTTCGAATGTCATATAATATTGGTCGTAGCTGTCATGGAATTGGGAAACGAACTCGAAAAACGAACCAGTCAATTCTCGATGAACTCGGCATCACAGATCGATTATCCACCATCTGCCGTAGACGCATCCTGCAATACTTCGGTCATATCACTCGCAGAGGTGAAGACAACCTTGAAAAACTCATTGTAAAAGACAAATTAGAAGGCCGAAGACCCAGAGGACGATCATCATCAAGATGGCTTGACCAAATAGCAAATATTAGAGGTCATCCATTTCAATCAAAACTCCGAGAGGCGGAAGATCGCCAACGATGGAAGACACATAGCTGCACATAGCCATAATGTCACGATTCTTCAGACATGAACAGACGACGAAGCAGATTCAAAACTGACTGATGGCGCGCGATTCGACTTCTTTACAAAAATTAAATGGAAACGAAACGTCATATAATATTGGGTCGTAGCTGTCATGGAATCAAGCGATTAAAAAATTACAAATAGAAACCCCCAAAAAAGGTTTTTCAGTTCGTTAATTTTTGATTATACATGTTCCTTTACCTAAAATATATCGTTTTTAAGTTATTTATCTGATACGTGCTCATTTCGCTGTGCTAAGAATTGGGAACGATATATTTCTTTATAAATCTTGCAATGTTGGTATACAGTGTGAGTCTTTAAAGTGAAATAAATGCATTATATCAAACACAGATCTTAAACAAAATGCTTGAACATGTCAATAATTAATTATTATTTTAAGTTGCTCATATTTTACAAAAAAATATTTCTACAGAAAGCAGATATTTCTTTTATGTGGAAATGTTTTTAAAAAAGGGATCGGGCGGGAATACGATTTAGAATAAGCTCCTTCAAGATACTGAAAGTACGTCTGGTCATTTAGATTATGATTGATATTACTACTGATTAATATTAATAACTTTTGGTAACCAATATTGCCCGCCAAAACGTTGAAGTCATTTCTCTGGCCATTGAGTATAGAGTGGTGTCACACTTGGGTTAAAAATGTACATGTACTTTTTTTTACTGCCAATATATCATTTTACTACCAAGCGACAGCCAATGACTGCGAAAAAGACTGCCTATCTCTGCCATGTAAATGTAGTCGACTGCCGATGTCGTAATACTTATGCCAACGAGTGCCCGGGACTGCCAAGAAATTGTACGTGTAATTCCAACAGTGAGACACCCCTCGTTGAGTATAGTCCCTCCCAAACGTTGAAGTAATTTCTATGGCTATTGATTATAGTGATCCTTCATTCAGTGTTTTCTTTGTCTGTCCAATAATGACAGTTTGGTCAATATACCTGGCTTTTCAACGTGGAAGTTGAATTGTCACAAAAAAGTATGTTTTTTAGGTTTACGGTAATATTGTCAAGTAAATGCGTCATTTGCTCACAAAATTGTAGTCTCATCGCGATCAAATTAATAACATTTGGTCACCAATAAATCATTTCTCTGACCATTGAGGATCGATAGGTGTCTCACTTGGGTAAAAAATGTGCATGTACTTTTTTCAATTTCTGTACAATCTGCAATTTATACGCATGAAGATGTAGATGCTTAAGTATCCGTATTGCTAACTTATTGACTAACTTATTTTATTTTCTATTGCAATTTATTTTGTCGATAATAACCAGACGACCCTGGTTATTAAATTTTTTTTAACGTTCAACACAACATTGAGTTTAACATTTTCGCATAATGCAGTTCTTGCTTAATTTCTTTTTTGTACATGACTGTTTTCTCTAAACTTCTGATCAATTTTGCTCAGCGTATTCTGTGATAATGGTGGAAAATCTGAATCTTTTATCTGCAAATAAATAACTTCAATTTCGGTTATTTGTCTGTCCCCGTCCCCGTATCCCACAAGTATTATGATATCGATTTGATGGGAAGCTATCTCTTCTAATGTTTCTATTTCACAATACTGAAATTATTAGTGTGACAATATGGCAAAATTCGACAAAAGAGTTTTTGCAGATTGCAAGGCTTCAAACGTTGCTGGTCCCTTCAGATAAAGAAATAAAGTTTTTTAAAATTCCATATTACTGATTTCGCTGTTTTTTACTGAAAATCCTAGTGCCAGATCGCTTTTATACAGGGTGTTTCAAAAAACATGTGCCATCTCTCGTGGGAAGATTCCTCACGTAAAAATAAGATTTATTTTTCATATCAACATAGGTCCGATTCTGCTTTGTTTCGTAGCTACAAGGTGTTAAAGTCTAAAGATTTTTTCGATTTATTATAATTTTCTTCCAAGTACTTTTAGCGTTTCGTATAAAATTTTTAGGGTAAAAGTTACTATAAATGCGACATATTTTAAGGCTCAAAAAGTGTCGACATATTCACCAGGGACGTGCATATGGGTTATCATTGGAATATTTTTCTAAAAAAAGCATGTACGCCACTGCCCTTTTTTTCTGTTAATAGCGAAACGAGGGGTAAACCGCAGAGGAATTATGGTGTACACTATGAAGGAATTCTACAGGAATTCCAAGGAATTACGAGGAATTCCAAGGAATTCCATAAGAATTACTAGGAATTCCAATTATTTCCGTAAGAATTCCAATGAATTCCAAGGAATTCCTAGAAATTTAGAGGAATTCCACAGAATTAAGAGGAATTACAAGCAACTTTATAAAAAAAATTAACGAACATTAGTAAAACCATGAATACTATAATAGGTAGTACTAAATTTAAAGAAAAACGTTTTGCAGGCGATTTTTACTATCCGTTTTTCTTTTCGCTTCTTCCAAAATTTCAATATCGAATATCTACAGGTTAGATATTCTTTAATTTTAATATTGTACCCTCGATTATATATCTAAAATATTTTCCAATAGTACGGCCGAACCACCCCCGAGAGATCTAGTTATAACGTTCCCTGATTTCGCCATTTTAAAGAAATCCTCATAAGATTTTTTTATTCAGTACTCCAGAAAGTGTAAAGTTGATTTTTTCATTTCCTCGGAATAATACCTAGGTATATACTATAGGAAAATTAATACAACTTTAGGTGCACTTCATCAATGATACCATGCGTAATCTTATGGAATTTACTGGTGATCGTATTATGACGTGCAACTGAAGTTTTATTAATTTCCTTTCCTATAGATACGAGTATAACTAGGTACCTCTCATTTTCAAAAAATCCCGAGAAAAATTAATTTTAATAAGTAAGTGCCGACATATTTCCAGTATTTTTACCTCATGATCCCCTATTGGTACTAAAATTTAACTAAAAAAACGTAAATCTCGTAATAGTACTTTTTATTGTTAGATCTAGTACTTATAGAGACATTAGACATTTATAAAAATCACCAGAAAATTCATAGCGGAACTGCGAAACCGAGGTGGCAACGCTGGTTCAGACTGAAAGAGTTCCGAGTTCGTACCAAGGAATTCCAAGGAAGACCTTGAATGATTGACCTTGACCTTGAAGACCAGGAATTCCAAGGAATTCCGAAGGAATTACGAGGAATTCTGAGGAATTATTTGAGTAAAAGGAATTACGGTGTACACTCTTCCCTCTGCGGTTTACCCCTCGTAGCGAAATAATGTAAGCAGTTTAATGCCGATTAAAAATTATCTCTTGATATTTTGTCGATTTCGGCCTCCTTAATGAGCATTTTTAAACGCAATTTTATTAATTTGCCTTGATCCAAGTCTCATAGCAACCTTTAAAAAAATTTAATATCACTAACTTGCGAAAGTTTTAAATAAGTGCGCATTGGTTCCTCATCAAAAAATATAAAAAAAAGTTCCTATAGACATGGGTATGGAAATGCATAGTTTTAGAGTTACAGGATGTTAAAACTTTTTAAAATTAGGTTTTTTGTAATTATCTTAAATATCATTATTTTTTATTTGAAACTGCTGTAGGTTGGACTAGTAGTCATAATAACTAATAGTAATAATATTTAATAATAAATTAGGTAAAATATATTATTTTTAGATTTTATTTTAATTTTAATTTTATTAAATGTGATTAATAAAATAGCGCGACAAAATATCAAAAGATAGCTTTTAATTGGCATGAAACGGCCTACACAATTTTAATATCAAAAGAAAAAAGTCAGTGGCGCAAACGTTTTTTCTGAAAAATATTCTAGTGATAACCCATATGCACGTCCCTGAATTTATCTCCCCTTTTTTAGCATTAAAACATGTCGCATTTATAGTAACTTTTACCCTCAAAATTTCATACGAAACGCTAAAAGTACTTGGAAGAAAATAATAATAAATCGAAAAAATATTAAATATTTAACACCCTGTAGCTACGAAACAAAGCAGAATCGGACCAACGTTGATATGAAAAATAAATCTTATTTTTACGTGAGGAAACTTGCCACTAGAGATAGCACATGTTTTTTGAAACACCCTGTATATTGTATGTAGATTTAGTTTAAAAGGGTACTTTCTACTTTTTACATTACAAAGAAAATGATATTCGAAGAAAATCCAAAAGTTAATAAAGCTCTTAATTAAAAAATGATGATCTTTCAACTCGATAAAGTAACTGCCCATCCTCTTTAAGTAAATAATAATCAGAGATTCTTGAGAAAATTGTTCCGGCACGAACGGGGCTATGGAGACTATTCGAATGCCAAAAATGCCCCAATTTTCTCATTATTATAAAACTTTCCAAAATCACGGAACAATTCTCCGCTCATTAGCATTCCGCAAAAGAACACCATTGTATGAGATATATAAAATATGCATAAAAGCAGAGGCTATGTCCTGCAGGAATTATTGCTGAAGTATATTTAATATCAACGGGGAACAAACGTTAAATTATTTATTATGTGCTCTCACATCGTTTAAAAATAACATTCTTTTATTGGACCGTGATTTGGGAATTGCCGCTTCTTTCTCCGTTTGATTGAATAAGTACGGTAAAAGAAAATTCATTTATTTATTTAATACTAGAAGAGACACACAAATAATAATATGTTTACACAGTATATTCTTACAGCAGTGTTACAGTTATGAAATGGGTACTAAAATAAATTATGAAAACGTATAAATGGAGAGAAAAGGAGAGCCTGAAGGACTTGAAATATAAAAATTTACTATAAAATTTTGTGCAACTAATTTTTAATTTTATATAAAGAACTGAATTAATTTTTACTATGTAACCGATTGACTGTGACCACAATTTGAACCGATAGATTTGATCAGTACAAAGTAGAGATGGGCAAAGATTGAACGAATCGTTCATTTGAACGAGTATTAAGAATGAATCGTGAGATTCGATTCACCGCTTAGAATGCGATTCGTTCAATTGAATCGTGGCCTGCCCGTATCCATATAATTTGAACGAACGAATCGTAGAAAAGGAATTGAATCGGATCACAATGCGACTTGTTCGTTCCGACTCACGGTTTGTTCGTTCAAAAAATAGTGAGAATTGATTCATTGCTTACAATACGGTTCGTTTTAAAAAAGAAAATTAAAATTATACCGGGTGCGTCTCAAAAGTCACTCCTATAAAATTTTTATATTTTCAGATAAAAAACGAGATTTGATATGTCAGTATATGACATAAATTAGGATTGATTGACGTATTATTGTTTTTGGTCAATTCTTGTTTAACCGGAAATGACTAAAACTTTTGATTTTTAAATGGCACCCCCGGTATATTTTTACTTTATTCGATAGAAAATGACATTCCGAATAGAATAACATATCATATGTTAACTTTTGACATTTTCGCTTAAAAAGAAATCGCATTTTAGATTAAAATCTAGAGTACCATGACTGTGTTAAAAACAGTAATTTTTAATCAAGGAGCCTTGGAAAAATATGTTTGATAGTCTAATATTTTTCCTGTCTTGTCCTGGCCGGTTAAAAGATGTCCAAATCATTTTTTTAATCATATCTCAATTTTGCAAATGGATCAAGGGTGCTCATGAGCATATTTGGAAAAAGCATTTTTTTACGAATAATTTGGTACCACACACTTAGTATCTCCAGTCAAAATGCACCGCATGTTACAATTTCAAATAAACGAAATATGCGAAAATGTCAAAAATTGACATATGATATGTCATTCTATTCAGAGTGTCATTTTCTATCTAATAAAGTAAGTAAAGGTGCCCGGTGGCGTAGAGGCTGCAGGCTCGTCTACCAATCTCAAGGTGTGGGTTCGATTCCCACACCCGGCATTGCATCAGCCGACTATTTTTATTAAAATAAAATAGTTTGGGTACCTAGGTCGACTCAGCCTTAAATGAGTACTTGGGATTCACAATCCTGAGGTAATAATAGGCGGTTGAAGCGTAGTGCTAGCCACATTACCTTCCTTGTATACCGAACGGCTCTAGTATAGCAAGCTGTACCTTGCTACTCCCAAGGCGTTAAAGCTATATACGGGAGCTATTATTAAGTAAAGTAAAAAATACCTTGGGTGTTATTTAAAAATCAAAAGTTATAGTAATTTCCGGTGAAACAGGATATGACCGAAAACAATTGAATACGTCAATCAATTCTAATTTATGTCATATACTAACATACCAAATCTCGTTTTTTTATCTGAATAAATAAAGTTAAAATTATAGGGGTGATCCACTTTTGAGACGCACCCGGTATACTATGAGCTTGTATATCCAAACGTTTGTAATATAGATAATAGCAAAGATATAAATATAGATCAGTAACTATCTATTATTATAGTATTAAAATTTAATGTTCTATTATAACAATTTTCTATATTTTTGAAAAGATTTTTGAAAATTCTTGAAATATGATCCAAACTTATGTTTTTAAATAAGGATAAGGTGTCCTGTATATTACTTTTTTAATTTTATTTACCTCGTTCTGAGCATTCTAAAAAGAGATACAGGGTCCGTCTTAAACAAGTACAAATATTTTCAGGGCTGGTAGATCTCGATAAAAGAAACATATTTTCTCTTTTCGCTTTTCAGATAAGTCCAAAATAATCGAGTCATTCAAGTTTGAAAATTTAAAAAAATTGATTTAATTTAAAATTGATTTTTTTTGTATTTGCATTCCTTTTAGTTCCGTAACCATAGAGTAAAGCCTTCATATCTGAATCTTTAGAAATTTTTGGAAAAAGTTTTTTTACGAATAATTTGGTACCACACACTTGGTATTTCGAGTCGTTACATTTATGGCCATGGCACTCTAAATTAAAATTTAAAATGCTATTTTTTATAATTGAAAATGTCAAAAGTTGACATATGCTATGTCATTCTATTCAGAATACCATTTAATATCAAATGAAGTAAAAAAATACCAAGGATGTCATTTAAAAATGAAAAGTTGTAGTCATTTCTGGTGAAACGGGAAGTGACCGAAAATAATTGAATACGTCAAGAAATCCTAATTTATGTCATAAACTTAATATACTAACATACCAAATCTCGTTTTATTATCTGAAAAAAATAAAGTTATAGGAGTGAACCAACCACTTTGAGACGCACCCGGTATATAAATATACCAAACATCAATCGTTCTTACAGTATTTTCTTGTTATTGATATTTTTATGAGACCGGTGAGTGAAATAGAATTATCTAGGTATTGTCTTGTACAAAGTCCAGAGATGCCTTAAAGCTCTTGTTTATTGGAATTCATTTATGAGATTTTCTGCCTATTGCTATTTTTAAATCGGCTACATTAAAAGTTTGATCAATTGCTTAGTAAACAACGCTTCGGAACATATCCTACTTATGCACATACGTGTTTTAAGATTTCTGAAATTATGC